ATCCTGATGAAAAAGTCAGAATTCTGAGATTAAAGTCAGAATTCTGACTTTTTCATCAGAATTATTTTTTTCTCAGAATTCTGAGGGGAAAAAGTCAGAATTCTGAATCAGAATTTTTCTCAGAACTTTCAAAAAAAGTAGAATTCTGAGGAAAAAATAATCCTGATGAAAAAGTCAGAATTCTGAGCTTAAAGTCAGAATAATGACTTTTTTCTCAGAATTCTGGAAAAGAGGAAAAAAAAAAAGATGTGCCCACTGCCCCCCAGTGGCCCTAATCCTCTTCTGTAGAATTTAGAATAAAAGAATGCACAATTAAAAAAAAAATTAGGGCAGTCTTAATCCACAAGTTTATAGTTAAACTTATAGTACTGACCCTAAAGAAATGTTTCTAAATCTGCAGCTTCACTTGGCTTGATGGTGACTTATGGTGAATTTGAGCTAAATGTGGTAGTTTGCAACTAGCTGTCATTATAAAAGAGCATGTGGCATTTAAGGACACAGATACCTACTGGAAGACTGAATTTTTAGATCTGACAGTGTGGATGGCTACAAGGAGGAATCCAAACGAGCCATAATGTTGCTTTGTATCTGCTTAATGTGTAAATAAGAAACTGTCGCTGACTATTCTGCCTTCATCAAAACAAAAACAAAAATAAATTAATTATAATTTTCAAAGTGCTGCTCCAAAGTGGTCAATTATACTTTCACAAACCGCTTTATTGCGATTACGTTTGATGTGTTTATTTGCCTTCAGAGCTGCCTTCATTTTTTCATGGCATGGACTAAACAAGGCGCTGAAACATTCTTCAGTAATTTTAGTCCACATTAATAGGATCCCTTCACAGTGCACCTTTAAAAACTCACTTGTGTTTCTTATTTCAAGAGCAAACAAACTTCTTTCATTATTTGTTCCAATCAAACTTGCTTCTGATTTAATAATAAGTGTTGTGACATTTAAAAAAGAGTGACCCTTGCTAATCTTGTTTAAAAACAAAAAAAGCATTAATGCTCCAGCTGAATTAGTAGTTAATGGGATATAGCAACCTGTTAAGCAGCTTAAGGGGGATACTGTTCCCACTGAAAGATCATCAAAGTGAATTCAGATACAGCACACACTCAGAAACAGAGAAAGAAAACAGCGGGGCAGGAGGAGGGGGGCAGGTCTGAGGTGGGCTGATACCTCCACGGCTATGCTAAAGTCCACCATTGACACGCTGGTGTTCCTGTGCCAGCACACGTGCACCATGGTGTTACCACGGTGAGGCGTGGGCTTCTCCAATGACACGTGGGGAGCTGTCATGTCGTCCTCGGACTCTGCCTCCACCGAGGAGTCCTCTGGGCATTCTGGGAAAGTCAGGAGGTTGTTACTGCTAGACAATGAGCAGGATGATGAAAGAGGGGGAAGGAGAGGCGCTAAAACACAGACAGCGTCAGACCAATCAAAAATCAGCATGTATCTGGGAATTCACATGGTGTGTCTCTTAACAGTTAACGCTGCTTCATCACAAAGTCAAGCTTCTCACATTCAGCTGTGTGGCTTCGTACTAACTTACTGTTGTCTGTCAGGCTGCTGGTCAGCAGCTCAGATGAAGGCCCGTTGCTGGTTTTTGCCATTTCTATCGCCATCTTTACGTCCTCCATCCACTTGTCCATCTCTACCAAAGAACTGGAGGAAAAAACACACAAATGGACAGAATGCTGAACAAAACAAGCACAAAGAGTCGCTGCAGGGTAGGCCCGGTGGTCAGAAATAGTCTGGTTAGCCCAGCCAAATGTTCCTCTTAAATAACAGTAAAACATGAACCATCTGTTTATTGAGGCAAAGCGAATCAGTTAAACATCTGAGGGCGGGAAAAGCATGAACTCACGTTGTTGTTGACTGCATGCTTTATGAATTGAATTTATTTTTATCTTCCAAGTATACTTTCTTATACTGTTAGCTTATTTTTATTTGATTTAACAAAAAAAAGAAATATGCAGATGAGTTTTTAGTAGCTTTTCTGAGTAACCTGCCATCCTCCTCTCCGGGGGCAACATCCCTCTGTTAGAGGGTAAAGCAACAGACTCTGTGTAGCCAAAGAGGCTAAAAGGGAAAAGACTGAAAATCACAATTTTATGAGCTCACTGTAACTAAAAGTAGATGCTTTTAAAGATGTAACTCAACAGCATCTAAAATATTTTTAAAAACCTGCCACTTTAGGTTCAAGGTGCAAGGTGTTTGCTGGCAATCGTACCTAGCTGCTACTACTACGGACTGCCGTTGCCCAACCAATGTGAAGGCATGAGGTACACCCCACTCATCCTCACTCTCTCTGATCTGGAAGAAGAACACAGAGACACAGAAAAGACATTAGAGAGCTGCAGTATCTAGGACAGCAAAGACCAAAATAGGCAGAAAAGGAGGGAAGGCGGGAGAGCAGATGAAAAGGAAGCGAGAGAGAAGCAAACGTGTAGCTGTCCTGAAAATATGTGTGTATGTGTGTGTGTGTTCCTGTCTACCTAGCTTTGTGAGGCCCGAAATCTGCATTCTACCATACTTGTGAGAACCAACAGTCACTTGTGAGGACAAACACGGGTCCTCACAAATTTGAAGGCCTTTTTCAGGCTCAAAATATTGTTTTGGTGTCAAGGTTACAATTAGGTTATGGTTAAGTATTAGGGTAAGGGTTAGAGTTAGACATTCATTTTTAATGGTTAGGGTTAGGGTAAGGTGCTAGGAAAACCACTATGTCAATGAAGGTCCTCACTAAGATAGCTGAACGAGCTTGTGTGTGTGTGTGTGTGTGTGCTAGAGTGGGGGCAGATGTTCTCTAGTAATGACAAACTGGTGACAGCCGCTCCAACGCCCTGTGTTCTTCTGAGAGACAACGGCACTTACTGTCATGCCATGGAGCGGCAGCTGCCCGTGCACTTTGAACTGATTTGTCGCCGTCATCCCTCGACTTGTGTATAAAATGATGTCATCAAACTATTGCAAAAGAGGCAGAGGAGGACACGTTAGTTAAAAATCCTAAGAACAAATTAACAACTCGGTGGCATTAAAAACCAAAACTTAACACTGATATCCTGCACACACAAACGCTTCTCTTCATGCTTATGCAACCAAATCAAATACTCGTGTAAAACACTAAGGCCGCCAAAGTTCAAAGCAACATGTGCTACGTTCCCCTGCGTGAACCTTTGCGGTTGCACTAAATCTGCCAACACCATCTCAGTAATGCATAGCCGGGCAGGATAAAAGCATGATTATCATTTCTGCTGAGATCAGTCAGCTAAATAATTCGATTAGTGAGATGAAGAAAGTGGGACGTTACCAGGAAAAACATTCGCTGCTGCAGCCCTTTTCCAGACAGTTTACTGAGGCAGCCCAACCTGATGAACTCCTGAGGAAAGAAATCATTTGTCACAAAATCTAAACAGAAACAAAAAGTTAAACAAATCTCTCTCCTGTAGATTTCAAACGCACCCGACCAGGAACAACGAGATTGTCGACGCCAATCAAATCCTTCTTCAGCTCCAGAAGTTTCTGCAAGTTCTCCATCTTGATTAGGCTTCCCTGAAGCTGGTCCACCACCTCAGACACATCAGCTAGAGCAGCTGGACACCAACCAGAGGTAAGAGATCGTTACAGATGCTCCGTTACACCAAAACACTGAAATATGCTTCTGTGAACTGAGTGTAACACCTCTGCAATCCCTGAAGTCCACATGAGTAGCTGGGTAATGTTTGCACAGGCGCTCCAGGATCTGCTTGTAGTGAATGAGGCGGTGCAAAGGCCGCAGAATAAAGACGTTGAGGGGAATGTAGCAGACCTTTTGCAGCTCGAAGTCTCTGCAGAGACCCTCCAACCTTCGGGACGCCTTGCACGCCTTCTCAAGCTCCAGCAGGATTTCAGACTGCTTACTCAGGTTTGCTGTCAGGGGCTGCAGGTAAGACTTGTTATCCACGAACAGTCGTGATTTTCTCTAAATAAACACGTATAGAAGTTTAACAAAAAGTCACAGCTCACCTTCAAACCCTGAAGGTTCTTCAACAGGACATCTCCAATGCGCTGGTAGTCTCCCTTAATGTGTGCGTTAGAGCGTCCTTCCCTTAAAAGAGAAAGACAGCAGTCCCTTTTAAGCAATGTCTCCTAATCAGTGGTTACTATTGGAGCTTATTTCCTGTTTAGCTTGCAAAATCTTCTTTAAAATATATGAAGAATTGCGTCGCTTTATGATGGTTCAGAAAATACAGCTTTCTTAAAAAACTATTTCTATAACCTTTTTGTGTAATGTCCCAAATGTTCTTGCATATTCATGTGTGTTTGCCGCTCTGCTCATGTGTAAATTTTCATTTGCTGTACTTGTTGCCAGCTTTTCTTTTCTTTTTTTATTCATTGATTTATTTTCCTGTGTGAAGCTTATTGTAATATCTGCCTCGCTTTGAGCTACATGAATAAATATTATTATCGTTGTGGACAGCGGATGAGCCGGGTAAGCTACATGAAAGCACTTTAATCTCACTGACTATTCAGTCACACTGCGTTCAAGAATAATTCCAATGAAGTTGGAATGGACGCGTTTAACTTCAAGAAACACCAGCAGGTGTCTCCCTTGAGCATCAGATTCCCCATGTAGGATTCATGAGGAATGGGGCTGCCATTACTGGACTTGGTCAGACTAGTTATTAATTTAATGTTAACGTTTTAGCAGGGAATTTAGGGGGAATATCTCAGTCTGTAAAATGCATCCTACTGCTCTTATGAAAGACGACTTTCTCATCATGTTCTTAACAACCAAGGTCCATATCTAGTACAGTATTTGAATATGCAAAGCTGCAAAAAAAGAAAGACAAATGTAGGGGTGGATAATTTGCATATGCATTTGAATGTGGGTCTTATCAGCCGAGCAAAGCACACTATCACTTTCTGCTTTAATTTGGAGCTCTAATGAGTGTGACTAGATACAGGAGACTTTGAAATAAAAATCACGGACTGTAGTTAATGGCCATAAATTTTAACAGCTTTATGCGTCACTTTCTCCGTGTCTGTGAAAAAGTCAGTGTGTACTAGATAAAGCACAATCATTAAGGAGATCAGAGGGCATACACCCACAAACCAGAATAAAGGCAGGCTGTGGTGCAGCATGACTGTTGTTATGGCGATTGTAGCTCCTTGGGTCATCTAAAGGGACCGGACCGCCCTCTTGGGCTAAATGCCAGCAAAACTCATTAAAAATGGGGGAGGAAGTTGTTTTAAATTGAACCGTAACCCCCGACACATCACCGGGCTTGTTCCTGACCCTGCGGGAAATATCTGGAAGTGAAATGAGCCTCACCACAGTGCCAGCCTCTGCTCCACCTCCCTGAGAAAACCTGTGTGGAACTTGTGCAGAGGCTCAAAGGTGGAGAAGATGGCGTCCTTCAGGGAGTCCGGAGTTGCCTCATCTTGTCCCACGGCACTCTGGAAAGACTGGTATCACGGATACATGCATACAGTGATCTTTCAAGCCATTTAACGAGGGAAATACAGTTTAACCATAAAAGTCTCAGTTCACTAACAAAACCAGGTTTTTGAGTGTTTTGTTTTTTTCATTGTGCAGGTGGCAGCGCTTGTCTACTTGTGACAAGCAGGTCATGCTTGTGACATCATGACAGGATGTTTACAGATGGTGTTTAAACTCTATTAGAACTTCCTGGTATCTGGATACAAGGCTGATTGTGGGTGAATATTTAATTTTGGCCTATATAAGAAATAAAATACTTGATTTATATGAACTACAGTGCTGTGCAAAAGTCTTGAGCCACCCATCATTTTATTATATTTTGCTTCCAAGGGGCCAGATTTTTCTTGTGTTTTTAAAAAGGGGTCTTCAGCAATAGTTTTTCATTGGCTGTTTTTTCACTCATTTCTCACTCATAAGTCCAGTCGTTGTACCACTCATTGTACCACTCATGTTAGGATGTAAAGAGGAGGTGAACTGGTGATTCTGGTTGTGTGTCTCTATGACAGGCGACCTGTCCACGGTGCACCCAGACTGTTGCCATATGACAGCTGGGAGAGGGTCCTTAGATAAGCAGGAGAAAATGGAAGAATGAATGGGTGTTGGGTTTTTTGTTTAAACTGAGGGAATTTGAATACAAAAACGCTATCAGATCCACCATGTAGTACCATCTGAAAAGCATTTGATTGGCAAAATCTTCATTTTTCAGCATGACAATGATCCCAAACACACTGCCAATACAGTAAAATCACACCTGGACAGAATAACACACAGAGGAATATTATCAGTCATGCATTGTCCTCCTCAGAGCCTGGACTTCAATATTACTGAAGCAGTGTGGGATCATCTTGACAGAGAACAGAACAAATGGCAGCCAGCATCCAAAGAAGAGCTTTGCATGTCCTTGAAGAAACTTGGAAAACTATTCTTGAAGACTATTTAAAGAAATTAAAAGAATGTTTTCCTAAGAGAATTTAGGATGTATTGAAGATACCAAATACTGACTTTCAAGCTTGTTAGAATTAAACAATCACCTTTCATACATGTTTACATATGTTTCAATAAATCACAGCAACTATTTCACATTTTTCTAGAAAAATATAAAGAAACGAGGGGTAACTCAAGACCTTTGCACATTTATGTATGATACCAAGGGTTACCAAGAGATCTCCACAGCGATTTTCTTCTGAGAAGAAGAGATAAAGTGAACAGGTAATGAAAAGCCTTTTGCCTCCTTTCAAATCCCTTAATTAGCTGAGGATGAATCGAAGAATCAATAGCCGACCATTCTTAACGCTGTTGTTTCATTAACTCAGAGAGAAGCCTTATGTTTATGTTTGTGGACACTGAACAGAAAACAGCTTTATTTAGTTGACGTGATGGGAAAAGGAAGTGGGTTTTAGGAAAAGTGAGCGCTGGAAACGAGGCGCCAGCTGTTGTTCAGATGACTTCACCCTTAACAGCAGCGGCACCAACCACAGCGAGGGAGCACACATACACATGCAGCAGAATAAAAGAACGAGGGCACAAGCCCACCCAAAATATTTATGAGATGTGTGAAAGACTCCTCTGAAAACTGCAAGCCGAGAAAAGCTGCGGCTTTTGAACCTGCCAGTGTAAAAGGAGAGCCGAATCAAACAACGGCAACGCTTCAGTCCAGCCTCATAAGGACATCCTCCTTGATTGCATGTGAAGGAGCGGTACCGCACATTTAATATCCTGTTTGTACCCAGCAATTAAATCTACAGGAGCAGGCTGAAGCAGTGAGTCACAGGCAGAGAGCGCATGCGGCTAAATCCATCTATCTCTTTAAACACAAACACAGTTTAGTATTCACAGCCTTGAACGAGGGAGATAAATGCATTTTGGAGAACGAGCGTGGGGAATGAATAAAAAATGAAATCGCATCTGCCAAAATATTCCTGTGTCACTGCCTGACTCTATGTTTTGGCGGGTGCTCTGCGATGGAGCAGCTAACCGGAATAATCAATGTTTTCCCCCCAGAGGACAAGCGCAGGAGAAAACAAACAGGAGAGCGTCGGCCTGGCGAGCGACTTGGCCCATCTTACCACAGTCACCACCTCGAGGTCCTTCACATACGTCCGTTCTGTTGTCAGCAGCTCCTTGGCGATGAAGTAGGCTCGATCTGTTGGGAACCTCTGCAAGGGCATCACAAACGGGGGGTGCAATCAGCTCCACAAATGTCTAACAGTAACTTTATTCAGGACAGATAATCTGGGTCCACTTCTATTTTCAGTAGCAACTTTATTTAAAAAAAATCTTTACAATGACACAACAAGGCAATATATTAAAGTGGCTCTTGGTTACAAACCTTCCTTCGAACCTCGTCTTCATCATCAGTGCGAACGCTGCAGGCGTCGTTGAGCAATGGGCTGGTGAGCGGGGAAGGCAGCCGGCCGTCGGGACTGTGACTGCACAGATCCAGCGACTTCTGACCGTTGACCATCCCGTGGGAGTGTCCAGAGGACGCGGACAGGTGAGGACTGTTGGAAACCACACCTGCACGGAGCCATAGGTGACCATAATGAGATGAGAAAACGATGCACGATAAAGTTAGGCAGCTCTGAGAGCACTTGCCTACTTTAAGCCGCAGACGGGTTGAGTTTTGCAGAAATTAAATAGTAAGAACAATTTTAATGATCAAATTGTTAGAATTTCTGAAGCAAACTTGAGGTTTCTTTGCTTTTCTCTGTATTACATTGTTATAAAGCATTTGGGGTTTTTTTTTTCAAACTGATTAAATGACACATTAGGAACAAGCTGAAGTGTGTGATGACATTTTTCGCCACGTTCTGACATTTGTTGAATACACAGCTAATAAATCGAGAATGTAATCAACAGATTATTTGATAGGGAAAATAATTGGTAGTTTCTGCTGCACAGAAATGTCATCTTCGTCAGATGCTGTGGTGGCATTTGGCTAATAATTAAACTCTCCAGCATTCGATTCATTATCCTACACTGCACACTTTACCTAATAGACACCTTAGCAAGCTAAACCAAACTGTTTCAATCATTGCATCTGAGGTCTGCTTACAGAAAATATAGAGTCAGCCGTGACTCACTCAACATTCCAGACAATTCTGGCAGTTTTCTTACCACGTCAATCAATACGCAAGCTGAGACAAATACTGCAGGGTGATCGAGAAGAACGGCTTACTTAGTGTCATCCATTCTGACAGCGTTCACTCAGCTTACTTACTATGTTCCGGCAGCAACTTGCTCACCTCTCTCTGGCGACTTCTGGTGTGTTGGCACGAACGCAACAGCTATAACAAGAACGCAGGGCAGTGCAGCTGGTGGCTGCAGTTAGCTCAATGCACAAGTACAGCTGAGGGAAGGAGTGACTCAGGCAAATACACACATCTAGAGGAATGCTACAAAGGAGACGGAAAGGTTCTAATATCTACAGTGGGGACCAGACTCCAGAAAATACACCGACTTCAACGGTTTAAAAAGAAGGATTTGGAAAAAATATCGTTTTAACGTCTTTATTGACTCTGCTGAACGCATATAGTTCAAAATTGTGTGAAAAGCAGCATAGAAAAGGCCCAGTGAACATCTACAAGAACACCGTGAGCGAATGAATGCAAGACAGCAGACAGACGTGGAAAAAGTGGGGATAAATGCATTCATGCTTCTAGGCCTGTAATAGTAAATGGCTTTATGAATATTTTAGTAAACTGCTTTTTGTTTTCACTCTGTTACTGCTGAGTCGAGAAACGTGTTAATGACAAATGGGTTAATTTGGAAATTCAGAAATTATATAATTTATAACATAAACACAAATCAATTTCACATTAGGTTTAATTTAATAAATTACACAATAAGTAAAAAATACTGTACATTTCAGCTCTTTGTAAATGAGCTTGCTGTGATTTCTTACAGTCTAATTTAATGTAAATGTCAATATCTTACTAGATATAAAGTACTGAAATGACAGTAATACCACAGTATATTACAGTACATACAGTAGAGTGCATGCAGAGAGCAGCCAGAGCAGAACAGCAGGACCTGAGCCATACCACAAATCTGGTTTATCACAGCATGCATTGCAAACAAACCATCAAGGACACCAGTGGGTGAGAACAAACACAAGCCTGGCCCACACTGCAGTGATCCAGTAACTCCCAAATCTACATTATCTTAACACCCTCTCTTAAATTCCAGCGCTAATTTTGATTTATTATGGATGGACAGACTTCAGTAGGTATTGATAGAAGTGTAAAACCATCATATCTCACATTTGATATGCCTCTTAATGTCAGCGCTAAAGACTTTCTGGGGGGCAACCGCTGAAGCAGTTGATATGATGGATGAGCAAAGAGACTCTGTGCTTTGAGGTGCTGCCCTTAAACTGCCATTCACACATAGAGTAACGCACGCATTCACCGATACTAAAACCCGCACATTCCCAGGCTCCTGTCATCTACAATCTCGTTATCTGGATCATTGCAGAAAAGGGAACCCAGAGGCTGGTAATCTTGTTTTCTTGTTTTTTTCCTCAACCACACATTATGAGTTACAGAAAAGATAGACATGTATTCAAAGTTAGAAAAAGAAAAACTTACAAGATCAAACAGTTTCATGCTGACAGACAGGGACAGAGAAAAATAAAGAAATGAAACAGAGAAACAAAAAATGTAAAATAAAGCTCAACAGCTTGTTAAACAGAATACACAAAGACAAGCATGAAGACAGGGGTGCAAAAGAAAGTTAAGAAAGGAGACTGGAAATAAAAGTTAGGAAGACTGCAGCTCGGTGATGCCAAATTACTGCCAGAGATACTTGAACGCAAATCAAGAGCAGACTGGGATTGTCAACGATGGGCATGAAAAGCCACAAACTGTTGTGGAGTGACCACAGTGTAACACTGCAACACACACGTGCTTTTAACTCTATCAGATGAAGCCACTGCCGGTCCCGCGAAGCTACTACTCACGCAAATCTTGTGATCTCGTAACTGCCAAAACATCTGTGAACAAGAGAGCGCAACTCCCCCCACAGGGCAAGGGCTAAACTAAAACTCTGATACTTTGTGATGTTTTTATGACAACATGCTGATGTCAGATTGTTCTTTTTCAAGGTCAACTTTAACCTTGCGTGCTAAAACTGCTTAGGTACTCATGTCCCCCAAATGAAGTTTGAAAACGATCCATAAAATTGTGGGTAATATATAACTTTTACTAATTTTCACATTGGATGTGACCTTAACTTTGACCCGATTTTCACCAACATGAAATCAACTCCAGCTGTTATTGATATCTAGCATCACACAAAATTTTGAAAATTAGATCTTGATAGCTGTGGACGCTAGACTGATTGCAAACAGATACACAGACAAGCAAACAAACAGAGCCGATTACACACTCCCTCCCTTTGGCGGGACATTTAAACATGACAGCTAAATCATAAAGTTTGCTTCAAGTTAATGAGTGGAGGTACTGCATATGGATCAGCATCACTTCAGACCAGAACTTCTCACAACAATCAAATAGTAGGTGCTGCATTAAGAGTAAAAAAAGAAAGGTAAATGTACAGAAGTTAACAGTTACTACTACCTCAATGACACATCAACAGACCCCAGAAAATATTAGTACCAAGCACAAAGTGTCTTATGCAGAAACCTTTAAAAATGTAACTAACTTCAAATAGTTAGATGTGTCTATGGACAGCTATGGAGCAAAATGTGGATTTTCCGTAGGGAGTTTTAAGGCATCGTCTGACTTATGAATAAAATCTACAACATTTTTAATCAGCCTCACGTTTCAAACTGTCTGAAAGCCTCTGTACTCTCTGTAGTTTTTAATTAGTAGCCATTGAGTGTAAAATCCTTAAAAGGCACGTGTCTATGTCCAAACGGACATGTTAATATAATTAAAGAACAGCGAGGCTGAACATTAAAGCCGCTCCATGAAATGGGCAAGAAAAGCCTGAACGCATACATTCGGCTACGTTTAAAAAGTGCTTCTACTCAGCAGTGCTGTGCTGTGACCACTATGGACTCGGGAGTGTGTGGATGTGAAAAAGCCTCCTGCTTACGTTCTGACCCAGACCCCTCTAGCTCTCAGTCGCAGATGGTTTAAAACTTTTAGCGCACTTAACAGCTGAAAATGTGTCCGATATCCTCATCGCTGAAGGCATGGGAAGCATCCTCATCTGCCTCCTCATCCAGCTGGAGGCTGCCAAAGGAAAACGTGTTTCTTGGTATGGGGGAACTAGAATTAGCCTCTGCTGGGCTACCAAACATCACGGGGCTGCTGCAGGTGCCCCTGTTATTTTCTAACTCCGACTCGCTGGACTCTGAGCCGCTTGTGTTCGGGCCATCGTTCATTTGAACTGCTCCATACTGTGTGACACCGGTTGATCTTAATCGTTTCTGCCCCAGACTGGTCCGCGACCTGCCTGGCGCAGTTAGCCCATTGGCCACCATGCGGCGCTCAAGAGCAGCCATGCGTTCAGCCCGAGAGAGGACAGTACGCGATTCTTGCTTTGCAGAGGACGTTCCTTGGACTGCGTCTGCGTCAAAATGGGCTTTGTGGAATTTCTGTGAGCGAGGAGATCGGCCCATGACGGGAGAGCATCTGCCGTCATTAAAGTTAAGTGGAGTGGGACTGTAGCCGTTCTGGTCTATGCGACTGAGGGAAGGTGAGTGATGGAGAATGTCAATCACAGGACTGGCAGTGACACCTCTTGAACCCGTCACAGTGGAAACTGTTATAGGGCTGTTGCTCTGCCTCTCTTGGACACCTATGTCTCCTATAATGCTATGAACAGGACTTCGGTCAACCGTTTGGCATGACTGCTTGGGAGAATGTTCTAGCTCATGACTCATCATGAGCGATGCTCTAGAAGAAGAAGACTCCCTATACATCCTACTCAGAAAGTGCTCCTGTTGAGCCTGCAGAGCCCCATTTATCCCTCCAGAGCCAGATCCCCAGGGGAGCATACCCTGTTCTCTATAGCTGTGGTCTGACCTGCTAGCCTGCTCCCTGCCCAAGTAATACTGAGCATCTACATCACTGCAGTCAATGTAGGGAATGGAAAAGCTGCCGCCTTTAGCAGCCCTAGATGCTGGACCTGTATTCAGATGTTCGGGGTGGGTCTGTCGTGTTGGGCTCCTCGTCTCCTCTGTCCTGGATACAGACCCCGTTCTCTCTTCGTGGCCATTTCTCTGATGCGAGGGGCTCATCCTCGCCCGCGAAGCTGCCGGGTCTTCTGCACTCACCAGGACCGACTCCTTCCAATGACGCCGAGGAGAATCAATTCTGTCCCCAGGAGCACCACTCTGCCAGTACGAGACAGGAACACAGGGTTAAAGAATTTAAAGACCACAATTTATTCATTGTATTCATTACTCTTACTGAAGGCCAGGATTTTAAAGTTTTTAAATTAATTCTACCTGACTTGAAAATACCCTGCAGTACCCCCATGGCTCTGTTTTGTTGGGCAGGCTGGCATCTTCTATGCACACACACATGTGCAGGGATACCACAGCACAGTATTGGGCTACCATGTGTCACCAGAACAGCCCTAGTGCTCCTTATTAATGATTCCCACTCCACAAAGTCTCTTGAACTGTGTTGGAGGGATCAAACACTATTCTTCTAAAAAGATGTTCTCTAATTTGGTGCTATAATGACAGCGTTAGCTGTATAAAACAGGAGTTTATTCATACCAGAAAAATGATCTTAGAGCATAACAGAGTCTTAAGATCCATGCCTCCGGATGAGTAGGCTGTATTTTGCTGTATTTTTACATTATATGCATTTTAAAAAGAGAAAACAATGTGAAAAGCGACACTATGGACTGTATTTGCTCAGACAACAAAAAATGCTGTATGCAACAAATTGCCCACTTAAAAGACTCACATCTGTTGGCACTTCACGGTGGCTTGGAGAAGGCAATGGTGACAGGCGACTGTTGTGTTGGACCCGACTGCTGTACTGAACACGACTGTGTTTCCTGGCAGACAGGATATTAAAGGTCAGCGTTATAAACTCTGAGCACCCTCGCCTGTACCAAATATGTCAAACGTATCTGCAGCCTTTACCTTTCAAACGGGATCTTTTTAAATTCAGACTCTTTCACATATTCAATCACCTGCTTCTGCGTGCGACCGCTGCAGAGATAAATACGAGACAGTTAATGATGAGCTATTCCGCAAGAGCCTTAGTAGACTGTTAAGTGATGCTGTGTTCTTGCAGCCATGATAGACAGAGTTTAGCTCTTTGATGCAAATGCTACCTGAATCTAAAGGAGGAGCCTCGTGAGAAGAGTACCGGCTTGGGCTTGGGCTTAGGTTCCTCAAATAGGCGGAAGAAGGCGTGATATTCAACACAGATCTTCCAGAAGACTTTACAGCAGTCCCTGCTTGGCATTAAAAACTCCAGAGTGTCCTGATATGAACTCTGGGAGACACATCAAGACATTTAAACACAACATCAGTCAGTGAGCTGAAGGGTTTCAATATCTTGTGATGTCACTTACATTTAGATCCGGCCTCAGCTTAATGAGGAAGCGTTTTCTCTTGAAGCTCAGTTTTCGAACTTTAGACCAGTTGAAGGCGTTAATCTTTGTGTGTCCCTGAAGTGATGAAAAACAGAATTCACTATTTTGCACTACTAAACATATAAAAAGCGTTTGATACCAGTTGGGCTGACCTGCACTGATTTTAGACTAACCTGGAAGACCAGGACACCCGTGTGCGCCACAGTCAGGCTTAACTTTGTTCCCTCGCGATCCTTGGCAGGATGGAGCCGAATCCCGTACATCTCCAGCCTGCGAGCAACTTCTAACAAATGGCAGTCTGATTCTGCTGGTGTCTGACCACTGTGGTATAAAACAAAACAAATGAAACTATATTTCATGTAGTGTTTAACAGAAACAAATCTCAGGGAAAGACCATAAGCATCAATAAAGCGAACATACTAACGAGCACTGTCGCAAACCTCCACTGTCAAAAAACAAAGACACCTTCTTAGTGTTAGGTTGTCTATACTTTCGAAAACTGGAAGCACTGGAAGCATACTGTGGTGGTTTGAGCAAATCAAAGATGTGGAGCTACCTGCTGTGGGGACCGCTCGCGAATGAGGGACCAGCTGAAAGTAGCTTTTATTTAACCCACATCTGTTAAACTCTTTAATATCTTTTAAACCTTGGTGTTATTATTGCAACAAAATATTCTGTGTTATACGCTCATAAAAATCTTTTACACACAGGAACACGAGCTTTAAAATTCAATCTATTCATTGTTCACTTTAGAAAGTATTTTCTAGATGGTTTTGGAAATAATTATTAGAGCAGGGAGGGTAAATTCAGACAAAAATGAATCGTATTCCCCTGTTGGATATCTGGCTTATTAAAGTGAAAGACAAAGACAGAGTTCAATCCAGGTTTCTCAAGTTTATCTGAGTTTCTGGAGAAGTGGTGGGAGGGGCTGCAAATGCCAACTAACCTTCCTATTTCTTATCAGTGGATAAGCCTTCCTGTTTCCTGTGTGTGGTAATTAATAAGAGATTTAATTCTACATGGCACATAGCCAGAAGTACTGCAGTCATCAACTAAGAAGGACTCTTGGTGGGAAAAAAAGAGCACTTTAAAGGGAGCAGTCAGCTCTAACGGAGCTGCTTTCATGTTGCCGCAGCCACCCACTGCGTGCCCATCTCTGGCAAGACACCCTGTAATGCTGAGGTGAGACAAGTGTCAGCAAAGCATTGGCACATATTCAAACCCACGCACGGTTGGGGGAATTTTGTGAAATGTGCTTTAAGGACATTTGGAAAGTTTCCAGTAACATACCACTCCCAAAACGAGTGGCAGTTATAATAGAAAAGCCTAAAAAGAAGCGCCAAGTTCAATCGCCAGCTTCACTTCTCGCAACCTCCTGCACGAGACGCCTCAAAGCGCTCTCTGACAAACTGCGTTTTTAACCTACTGAACCGGCCGACAGCAGCAGCGTGAGTCATGCAGCAGGTTGAAGGAGGATTTCAGATCTCTGTTAGGAGGAAAGTAATCTTCATAGACAGAGCAGAAGATGAACTCACATCCACTTCTGGCCAGAAGCTGTAAAACAACTTACAAAGACTGCCTTTTCTAAGCCCGTGTATAATAAAAATACACAGCTCTCTGAGAAAGGAGCCTTTCATTCAATGGCTGTTTTCCTGAATGTGCCACCTCTATAATAAAAGTTCCCAGTGGGACACGCACGCGGTCTGAAACAACATTTCCTGTTGACGGGTTGAGAGAGTAATTTGAGCGCAGCCATGCCTTCAGTGACCTTATGAAGAGAGTTAAACAGAAACTACGACTGGAACCAAACAACTGCCTTATTTTAAAACCACTGTGCAGCCTTGAATCAAGATCTCTACTCACATATTCTTTGAGTGAAACTCCATGATTTTGTCAATGAGGGGCATTTGATCTGGGATGTAGTTGTTGTTGAGGAGGTGTGACCGGCACTGGCTCTCCTCAAAGTCTCCGATCTCAGCTTAAGGTAGACAAGAAAGAAAGGGGGGTGAAAAAGCTCATGTTATACAAAATAAGAATAAAATAAATAAGAATTGATAATAATGAGAATAATAGAAAAGAAAGTCAATGTAGGGTGCTTGTAAAAGCGCTTCAGAGCGTGGCTTTTCTGGAGGAATTAAAGGTTTTTCCTCTTTTAGTGTTTTATTGATACAAAAAAACTTTGATCACTATCATGTGACAGACTGTAGCAGTGAAAATGCTCAGATTTCCTGGCATTGGCACCATCTAACTAAAAAATACCCACCGTAATACACAGATAATCAATTTGCAGTGGTGTGCAGTGTGCACTGTTACAGTCGCGGTTAAAAGAAAGCATTTAATCTTTAGATGAAATGTTTTCTGTATCAGGATATAATAAAAAATAATCCATGTCTTAGCTGCTCTTAAAATTAGGTAAACAAATCCTCTGATGAACAACAACACATGACATCTTACACCCTATAATTATTCATTTAACAAAAGAAATTCATCAAAAATGAAAAAGCAGTGTGTGAAAAACCCTCACTGCTTCTGCAGGAAATATGAGGCTAAGTAGCCGCTGGGTGCTGATAATCAAATGCACTTGATTAACTGATCATCAGCGAGTTCGAGCACCTCTATAAAAGCAATACTTTAGGCAGCTTGCTGGTCTGGAGCCATTGTTTATTCACACAATGCCAAGAATGAAAGACATCAGTGATTTTAGTGAAGCGATTGTTGCTGATGGTGATGATTTGGGAACTCCTCAAAGTATTCTAGAGACAAATGTGAGGCTAAATCACCGTTTACCTAGTTTTTCAGACACTGCTTCTACATTTTTTTGGGGTTTTTTGTCAAATAAATAACTACTTTCTGTAATTTGTCATGTGTATTTGTTTGTCTGAGGTTGTATTTACCTCATTTTAACAGCTGGTGAGGACTAGATTATTTTTTACTTACTTTTCATGTAAAATCTTAGAACTGATACTGTACTTTGTGGTTTACTTTTGTTTTTTTACCATGACTGCCTTTCATCTATGTGTGTGTTTTGTTCCCGTGAGCTTAATGACAAAAACAGCTCCGGCGTTCCTTACATTGTATAATGTAGGAGACCATCAGAGCGGCGCTGGTGTCGTTGCAAGTCAGACGTCCACAGAAAAGGTCCTGTTTGATCTGGAGGGCAAACAGGTACCTGGGCCAAACACAAACAGCATTCGCATTATACAAAAGGAGGAGCTGGAGTTTGGTGTTTTCTACCACCTGAATTCTGGATCAGATTGAAATCTACTGCTAAACTCAAACATGGCAGCCAAGAGGATTATTGCAAATTCTAACTAAATGAAAAGCATCTTTTGCCTTTCTTTGAACCACAGTCAGCTGGAACAAGTGTACAGTTTAAATTCAGAAATCTATAAGAAGTAAAGTTAGTTTTCGGGACATTTCCTGAACACATTGCACCTCCTGGCTGTAGTCCAGCACAGAAACAAATATAGTCCTGATAAGAGGCATAATAATTTCTTTGGTTTTTTGAGAACATCTAACGTCAGCGCCAACTAGTCAAGCAGTTTACATCCACCTCCGTCCTTCAGCTGCCGAGTTTGCCAAAAAATGTTTTCAATGTCTTTTGCATTTTCAAATCAATGAATAATTATGACAAATAACCAGGATATAAAGTCCAGAACAAGAAAGGAGAAACCGGAAAACCATTAGCTCCGCACTAATCTCCCAGGAGGTAAATCAGAAACATGGCAGCCCTGATATGTGAACAGCATAGCGTGGCGGGGCATAAATCTTGTGGGAACCGCAGCACGTTTCATGTTTCCACAATTGTTTTCAGTCACAGTGGAAATAAGTGACACTGATTTACACTGACACACTGTATACAAGTGCACGTTTCATTGCCAAGCGGAAGATAAGCACGCTGTTGGGACGAAGATAAGTTATATCACACAGAGAGGAGCTCACCTCGTCAGCTCCTCCAGTAGCTGGGCGTGGTCAGGGGGGAAAAACTTCACAGAAAACCTCAGGATTGTGTGTTTCGGCCCTGCGTAAACACAACAAAGAGATCTGCTATTGGACTGCATCAAATACACAAAACAGCAGCCCTTTGAAGCGAGATATGCTTCTCGCTCGCTTACAGGTTTTCTCCAGACAAACAAAGAAACGTCCACTGAGAGAGATTTCTTCAAAGAATAGGGTTCAGTATTTTAAAGCACTTACGCCTGAGCTGCTTGATAATGGGTTTGATATGGTCCAACCAAACCTGTGAAAGAGAGAAGACGGTCAACACGGAGCTGATTTTAGGGAAAGCAACGTTAGGTATGCTTGACAGAGGTTCCTCTGTGCTCTCATTTACTCACCATCATCTTTTGTTGGTTCTGAAACTCCAAGCCAAAGTAGTCACCCTCAATGAGATTCATGTGGGAGCACACGAGGTCAAACAGCACCTTGCCTGAGGCTTTTTGCTGTGAACAAAAGGAAAAGACAAAGAGCTATAGTTAATATAACACTGCAACAGTAACTATTCCTGTTTTAAAGTCAGCTTTTGTCCTCAGCATTGAAGTCAAAGGAGACTCTGGTATTTTATATGGTTACATACATAAAGCCAGCCAAACTTCTGGGCCGAATGACACAAAAGAGCACTCAGGCGCAAAAGAGCCCGGCTTTGTTGACCTGTCAAACCCCATGCGAGTGAATGCTACCCAAGTAGATAATCATTTTTTTGACTAAATTCCTCTGCCAGCCTTCGTCCTTCTATTCTTGCTTTCACGGGCTCGGTTGGTCACAAAACCCCTTCCTCCCTGCTGGAGCCAGAGGGGGAGGCAGATCCCGTCTTTGATCTGTGTTTTCAGTGTCACTGCTGTCACTGATGACGGCCCGGCGGCCTTTGAGGTTGATACAGTATCAGGACGGGATAAAGACCCTCCCCGACCTCCTCCGTCCTCGCTCGCAGCGCGCGCAAACACTTTGAAGAAAGAGCGAGCAGCCCATGTGCTGCCTGGCGATGTGACAACACACAAGCCTCAGAAATCCACCACATCTTTGGAGAGAGAAACTTTCCCATGTAAGGTCAAGTAAAAGTCAGGGATTTCCACTGAAACACTTCTGTTGCAGGCACCCTGAGAAGACAGAGCTCTGTCAGGCACACACACAGCAGGAGAATTTCTGCCTGGCTGCTTCCTCGTGACTGCTTTGCACCAGAGCGGAGCGTGTCCCAGCTATAGCATGTGAGTGTTTGTAGTAGCAGTTCCCTTTGGTTCGGATAATGATCCAGGGATGTCTCCGAGTGGGTTTCAAGGAAGCAGTTCCTCCTGTGCTTTTACATAAAAGGAAGAGTGAGTCGCAGAGACGCGTCACATGAATTCCCCTTCATGCAGCTGAACTGTATTAAAGGGTCTCGCCCGCCTTTAAATGTGTCTGGTTTCACAGGCAAACAATGATACAGTCTGCGCTCCTGTTGCTCAAAGAATAAAAACACAAGCTTAGCCAGCTTAGTGAAAGGGTTTACACTTTCACAAAAAAATCCAAAGTCTTTCCCAAACAAGCGCCCACTCACAACATCAGCCACTCAACCCCCCCGCGTCTGTCCTTCCTACACAGCACTACTGTCTCTCGTCAGGCAGCGCAGAGGGTGTCCTCTGTCACCATATGGAAGCCAGTTGTTTCCATATGGTGACAAGCAGGCTAGAGGGAAAGAGCTTAAGCCCTTCTCACACGTAAATATTCCACCCTAACTGAGGCAAATGAACTCCTGAATGACTTCTATGTCTCATGTTTTCTGAACAAATGTGCCCCAGGAAAACGTACGGCGGACAAACCGCTGCAGATGCAGTGTTGAGGCTCAAGAGTGTTTCTGTCTCACGTATCCAGCCCTATAAATCTGCTGTCGGGGCAGAAATGACCGCGAGCCAAGCAGAGATGGGTAAGGCCGAGGCTGATTAAAGCTTGACAGTGCTTGATTAAATGCAGCTGTTGCAGACTGGAGTTACGGCACTGCCATTTGACACCGCTGCAGCCGGCACAATAATAAGGCCACTGTTAATGATGCACAAGACCCAAAGATGACAGCTGTACTGGCGCAGGCACTTGGAGGACACTTAGTAACACAGTACTCACTTTAGAGTCTCTAAAAGCCTAATTGCAGCTACGTAATAATGAAACCTGGCATAAAAGCAACTTGTCTTACAAAACCGAACCCTCTTAGTTGCCATTTTATTAGGTACACCTATCTATTACTAATATACCTCAATACAATAGACATTTAATCAATCCTAGCAGGATATAACCCGGAGGGGATATACAGTACTGGATTGGAGTAGTTTTAGTTAAATTTACCCAATAAAGTCTGAACCAACTGTTTACGAAGAAAGACGCTCATCTTTGGACAGTACAGGTGTTACTAGATTACTACAACTGACTCCATTTTTTTCATTAGGGAACCTGTAGGTTGGGCTTATTCATTTATTATCATTTTCTCTTATTCAGCCACAAAGGCAATAGGACCATGAGATCAATGTACACTATATGGACTATATACTGAGCCACACCTTAGTCATTCTATTCAGGTGTTTCATTCAATCGCATTGTCACTGATGAATGAAATCAAGCACGTATTCATGCTGTCTGTCTTTACAAACATTTCTGAGGAATCGGCTGTTATAGCACAGCTGCAACAAGTCTTTGGTGAAATTTCTTCCAGACAATCCACAGTGAGCTGTATAGTAAGTGGTAATATTGCAAAGTCAAAGCATTCACGAACCACAGCAATTCGTGAAAAGAAGTGACACAATAGGTAGTCACCAGTGCTCTGCTGACTCAATAACTGCAGATTTTCAAAGTCCTCTGACTTTAACATCAGCACTGGGAGCTTCATTGTATGGGTTGCCATGGCAGCAGCATCTCCTTGCAAGGCCAGTGTTGGCTTGAGTGATGTAAAGCATGCCACCGCTGGACTGTGGAGGAATGGAAACGTGCAGCAGTGATAAATCTCATCTCGTTTCTCTATCTGGCAGTCTGGACACCAGACTGAGTTTAGTCTGGGTTTAGTGAATAGCAGGAAACACTGCCTGCCTGAGTGCACGGTGCCAGCTGTAAAGGTTGGTGGAGGAAGGATAATGCTATGGGGTTGCTTTCTAGTTCCAGTGAAGGGAAATGTTAATGTTTTAGCTCACTGAGACATTTTTTTATAGTTCTATCCTTTCAGCTTTTGCAGAGGCTTTTCTGTTCCAGTGGGACTGAGCCCCACTGCACAAAGCTCAGTCCAAAGAATGGATGGATGATTTTGGTATGGAACAACTTAACTGTACCACACAGAGCCCTAACCTCAACCGCACCGTACCTTTGAGATAAACTAGAAAGAAGATTGCCAGCCAGGCCCTCTCATCCAACATCAACATCTGACCTTAGAAATGCTATTAAACGGGCACAAATTGCCGCAGACAAGCTTCAAAAGCTAGTAGAAAGTCTTCCCAAAAAGAGGGGAAGCTGTGTTAGCTGTAAGGGGGGAACAATTTCCATAATAATGCACATGGATTTACAATTCCAATTCCCAAAAAGTTGGGATGATGTGTAAAATGCAAAAAAACAACAACCCAGAATTCAGTGATTTGCAAATCCCCAAATTTACAATAGAACATGGAAAACATCAAATGTATTAACTGGGAAAATTACTGAGACCAAATCATTTCTGATCTATTCACAGCTGAGATTCTGACCTTTCTGTACAGGAAAAGTTCAAGTATCACAAATAAAATAAATGAAAGCTCTGTTCAAGTGTGCCATTAAACCACGGCAGTGTGACAGTGAGCCAGCTTGCAACTGAAGTGGGAATGAAATCCAATTGTTCATTATTTCTGAATGGGTGCCTGCATGTTGGTAATGAGTGCCATAGCTGCCACATATTGTCAAGCACATATATGTGGGTAAATCCTAAACGTGTTGATACATGCTAACACTTTCAGAAGCTACATTAAATTAGCTGTTTTTTTTAGCATTTCCAGAGCTTACATTTGCTGGCACTAGTCGGTACTACAATGGGTCTTGAAGAAAACACAGATATTAATGTTCTGTGGGAATAATTTCTTCACAACTCTTTGGTTTTCTTTCCAATATTGTTGGGTCTGTAGCCTACAATATCAAGTGCCCTGAGGCAACTGTTGTTATGAATTTGTGTTTTATGAATAAAACTTCGAACTGAATTGAAATATTGACTTGTAGCAATGGCCTAGTGTGAACGTCTGGATTAAGAAACATCTGATTTAAAGGGACAGTTACGGTAACTTAACCATTCAGGTTGTTTTGGAGTGCGTTGCCTATATTTGAAGATATCAGCTTTAGAAAATATTATCCCCTGTTGAAAATAATGGGACCCGATGGCACTTCCCTTGAGGTGCTCCAAGCTCCAAAAACATTAATGTGAAAAAGTAAGCAGCAATATCTCCTTCTAGAAATCATGACCTGGTTACTCAAAAATCCTCAAACCCTGTTGTGAGCACTTTAATGTAGGAACTCTGTTTATGTGCATTTTTTTGGCATCTGAAGCAGCACAAGGCAAGTGCGATCATGTTCCATTAGATTCAAGGAAAGGCACTGATTTCCACAGTTGATATCTCAAAAACTGGGCAACGCACACCAAAACAATGTAGACGGGTCATTAGCACTACAGGCCACAGACAAAAATACTTGAATTTAATCTCAGAGTGACCTGTTCATTTAATTTAATTTAGGTCACTGAAGCTGTAAAGACACAAGATAATTTACTGTGTCAATTCACTGAACCATTAATTACAGCAAAGCTGTCTGTTTTTATATCCTCTGTTCATCCAGATGGCAAACAGTACATTTAACTCTTTAAAACATAAACAATGAAATAATTGCCCGAAATTTATATATAAATATATTTGATGATTACTGATGATTTAGAAGTCTCAAAAAAATCACACAAACTGTATCAAATTAAATACACTAGGTGTTAAGGGGTTAAAAATCTAGGCATCAAAGTAGTCTCTAAGAAGACTGCACAAGCACCAATAAAGTCAAAAGGCCAACACTAAAGTGTACAACAATCAGACAAAAAAGAAGCTGTGACTTCTTTCCTCTGACAGTGCAGCTGACTCAAACCTCTACATACATGTCGTGCAGCCTCCGCTTTCAGCTGAAAGGTTACAGTCTTAGGAAACATCATCATCAGGACCTGACATTTCTTTCATCATCTGGAATGCCAAGAAAATGTCACCAAGCTTCCTTTTCATGGCCTCTATCTATAAAAAAATAAGGTTTACAGTTTACATAGGAGCCGTCAATTGCAGCATGAGGCGACGCTTTCTGAATCAGCAATCTCAGACCAGACAAGACGCGCCGGGAGACTCTGTCTGGGTTCATCAGGCTTAAACATAGACTCATAGGAGGCTACAACTGTTTACATGTGTGTGAGTGCGAGTACGGCTACGCCACTGCATTGCCCTCT